GAATGGCACTAGCGCCGCCGGGATTAAAGAGAGGGATTGGCTCTGCCGGGCCTGCTGATCACGGGGACTTATGCTTTGAACAATGAAGGGATTCCCTCCATCCTCTACGTCCAGGCTTCCGTTATGCTCACATATAAACCCCAACATCCTATCGCCATGCTCGTTACACAACCCCCACCTCCGCTTCGCTCTGTCCTCCGTATCCACCATTTCCTATCGACCTCACGCCCCTTTCCCGGCAGGTTTGCGTGGACCTCGACACCACCCAATGGTACAAGCCTCCCCGGCCTCCCAAGGACAAGGTTCGACGGATGAAGGCCTCGCAAGCTGACGAAACCACGCCGCTGCTCTGGTCCCCTTCCAAGGACGCGCCGGGGGAGCCCTTGTGGAGACGCTCCTACACTGATTCTGAAGGTAAGGTGGATGGGAGAGGGAAGGGTAGGAGGGAGAGGAGGGAAGGAGGGAAGGAGGAAGAGGAGGTAGACGATGGAAGAAGGAAAGAAGGAAGAGGGAGAAGGATAGGAGGGAAGGGAAAGTAAGGATGAAGAGGAGGGAAAGAGGAAAGGAAGGAGGAAGAGCAGGAGGGAGAGGAGGGAAGGGAAAGTAAGGATGAAGAGGAGGGAAAGGAAAGTAAGGATGAAAAGGAGGGAAAGAGGAAGGGAAGGAAGGAAAGAGGGAAAAAGGAAGCGGAAGAGGGAGAGGAGGGAAGGAAGGAGAATAAGGTTGAAGAGGAGGGAAAGAGGAAGGGAAGGAAGAAAATAGGGAAGAAGGAAGAGGAAGGGGGACAGGAGGAGAGAGAAAGTAAGGGTGAAGAGGAGGGAAAGAGGAAGGGAAGGAAGGAAAGAGGGAAGAAGGAAGAGGAAGAGAAAGGAAGGAGGAAAAGTAAGAATGAAGGAAAGAGGGAGGGAAGGAGGTAAGGAGGTAAGGAGGGAAAATGAAGGAGAAGAGGGAAGGCGGGAAGATGAGGAAGGAGAGGAGAGAATGAGAAACGATTTGATATAAAATGAGAATCACATTAACTGCCTCACAGAACAGTCCCAGTACGGGTTCGTATTGAATGAGTGAATTAACAGTCGATAGCCTCAAAGTAACTGTACAGAGGCATAGCAAAACAGTGCAAATGTAGGCCTATCTGAACAGTAATTTACGGTGTTTAATCCCTAGTTGGTACTGCTTTTGGCTCCAGTTACGTGGCTCAGAGGTTTAGACAGAGCTGAGACATAACTCCTGACGATTATGAATAAAAGAATGGTTAAAAAAGATTAAAATGTCCTATGTCTCAATTTAACGATTCCATTTCAAACCGCTGAACGCAACTGAAAAAGTTAGTATACGTATGTCTGGTAGCCTCTGTGAACAACATAGGAACATATACGTTTGCTTTGTCACACAGATGGACTAAAACCTCTGTTTTACGTTCATATACATTCGCGTTTAGTCTCACCATAACTAAGTCTCATCATCGCTAAGTCTTATCATAGTTAAGCCTCACCATAGCTAAGTCTCACCATAGCTAAATCTCACCATAGCTGTCTCACCATAGCTAAGTCTCACCATAGCTAAGTCTCACCATAGCTAAGTCTCACCATAGCTAAGTCTCACCATAGCTGTCTCACCATAGCTAAGTCTCACCATAGCTAAGTCTCACCCTCACATAGCTAAGTCTCACCATAGCTAAGTCTCACCATAGCTAAATCTCACCATAGCTGTCTCACCATAGCTAATAGCTAAGTCTCACCATAGCTAAGTCTACCATAGCTAAGTCTCACCAAGCTAAGTCTCACATAGCTAAGTCTCACCATAGCTAGCCTCATAAAGTCTCAATGCTGTCTCACCCAGCTGTCTCACCATAGTCTCACCTCATAGCTAAGCTAAGTCTCACCATAGCTGTCTCACCATAGCTAAGTCTCACCATAGCTAAGTCTCACCATAGCTGTCTCACCATAGCTCTAGCTAAGTCTCACCATAGCTAAGTTCACCATAGCTAACTCACCATAGCTCTCACCATAGCTCTCATAAAGCTCGGTCTCACATAGCTAAGTCTCATAGCTGTCTCACCATAGCTATCACCATAGCTAAGTCTCACCATAGCTAAGTCTCACCTAAGTCTCACCATAGCTAAGTCTCACCATAGCTAAGTCTCACCATAGCTAAGTCTCACCATAGCTAAGTCTCACCATAGCTAAGTCTCACCATAGCTAAGTCTCAAGCTAAGTCTCACCATAGCTCACCATAGCTAAGTCTCACCATAGCTAAGTGCTGTCTCACCATAGCTTAGTCTCACCATAAAGCTCACCAGTTTCTCACCATAGCTAAGTCTCACGTCTCACCATAGCTAAGTGTGTCTCACCTTGTCTCACCATAATCTCACTATAGGTCTCACCATAGCTAAGTTTCACCATAGCAAAGTCTCATTATAACTAAGTTTCACCATAACTCTCATCATAACTAAGACTCACCATAGTTAAGCCTCACCATAGCTAACTCTCACCATAGCTAACTCTCATCATAACTGTTTCACCATAAATAAGTCTCATTATAGCTAACTCTCACCATAGCTAACTCTCATCATAACTATGTTTCACCATAAATAAGTCTCATTATTGCTAAGTCTCACCATAACTTCACCATAAGTTCTCCGGAGTAAATGCTCCCCCATAAGCAACTACGACGTCTTTTAACGTACGAAAACTATAACGAAATTCACCTGTTTCCGAGGTTCTATCCGTCGGCCATTTTTCAATTCTACGTAAAGCAACATTTTATTAAAACAGTTTTGAAATTCTTTCTTAAATAAACATTGCATTCTGTTGCTTCCTGATGTTTACAAACCATCCAGTATCCCGCTGCTTTGCTTGTTCATTTGCTTATCATTCTGTTAACAGTGAATACAGTGCTTTCTCTGATTCTACTTGCATCGCACGGAAGGCCAGGTTTTATTTCCCTGATATCTATGGTTTTAGAGCACCATAATATAGTTATCACTTCATAACTGTGTATCCGAGTGGCGTTACCTGTTGTGCGAATGGGGAAGTTATAGTGAAAAAAAAATATTACTTAAAAAAGAGAGTGAGGGAAGGGAGGAATGAAGGAAGGAGAGATGAGGAAGAGGGGAGGAAGGGAGAGGAGATAAAAAACAGAGGAATGTAGGTTGATAGGAGGAGGGAGAGGGAGAGTCAGTAAGGCAGGGAGGGAAAGAGGTTAGTAGGGAGGAAAGAGGTAGTTTAGCAAGGCAAAGAGGGAGGGAGAGAGACAAAGAGGAAAGAGAGTAAAAGAAAGCGTGCATGCAAGAGGAGAACCGCTTATACTAGAGCAGAGATTTGGTAATAGATGAAATGTCCACTTTATCCAGATCGTACTTTCTGGCAATAAAACACACTCCTCCCCTCATTCTACACAGGCTAAAAAAAAAAAAAAAAAAAAAAAAAAAAAAAAAAAAAAAAAAAAACAGGGGCCCTTTGGAGTATAATAGATATCACCAAAGAAAAAAAAAAAACGTAATTAAATAATTCATGGTCCTTCACGGGAAGTAACCAAAACAGGATGTGTCTCGAGCATCCTCTCAGAACGGCTGGCTGTGATAATCCTTCGAGTATTTGACAGACTAGTAAAACATAAATGAATGTGACGATATGTGTATGTGGTGAGACGTACCTGCATGTGAGACAATACAGACCTTGTGCCGAGTACTTGTTATGACGCATAAGAATAGGTATGTAAAAACATCATGTAATCTAATAGTATAGTTAATAGTATATAATCAGTGTTGTTATAATCTTGATAATAAATGATAAAGATAAAATAAGATATGGAATATTGGAATATTATACACACGCACTGACAGACATACAAAAGGAGAGGAAGTTATAGATAGATGATAGATAGATAGATAGATAGTGAGAGAGAGAGAGAGAGAGAGAGAGAGAGAGAGAGAGAGAGAGAGAGAGAGAGAGAGAGAGAGAGAGAGAGAGAGAGAGAGAGAGAGAGAGAGAGAGAGAGAGAGACAGAGACAGAGACAGAGACAGAGACAGACAGACAGAGACAGACAGACAGACATAAATAAAATGCTAGCATTGATACAACAAGAACTCACGAAAATAGCTTTCCATATCTCACAAAACCAATTTGAATAATGAATCCCAAGCCAGCCTAGGGAAGCCATACTTTAATTAAGTGCCGGGATCAAAAGGGATGGATGTAAGGGCCCAGGGCATGTTATGTGCTCTTTGTTCGTGCACTAAAGCATTACGAAGCCGCATATCAGTGTCAAGGTCAAAGTTCATGTCTTTTTGGTGACACTAGGGACAAGGGAATTAGTTGTAGAGAAAAGAGTGTTATAAATATTGGTTGTTGTATCTGTTTACGAACGCGGTGCGGGAAACACACATCTATGAACAGATTTGACATTGATGCTGATTCCCAGGCGCGTTCCAATCAAACATGCTTCAGATTCTTGTATCAGATGCTTTCGAAACAGGATGGAATCACGAAAAGTAAGTAAAAAAAAAAAAAAAAAAAAAAAAAAAAAAAAAAAAAAAAAAAGAAAAGAAAAAAAAAAAAAGGAAAACATAAATATGACTACGAATAAATACATGAGTATTCTACACCCTTCTCTTTCCAATCAATCATGTTTTATATTCTTACCAACTTAACATAATAATGGAACGAAGGAAGGAGGGAAGAAGGAAGAAGAAGAGGGAGAGGAGGAGAGGGAAAGTAAGGATGAAGAGGAGGGAGTGAGGAAGGGAAGGAAGGGAAGAAGGAAGAGGAATTAAAGATGAAGGAAGTGAAAAGAGGAAGGTAAAGAGGGAAAGAGGGAAAAAGGAAGAGGAAGAAGGAGAGGAGGGAAGGAAGGAAAATAAGGATGAAGAGGAAGAATATCAATTCGTTCTACACCCTTCTCATATTTCATATTCTTAGGAGAGAAAAAAAAAAAGAAAAATATCGAAACAGGATGAATCCCCGAACCGTAAAGATAGCATTTTACGTCCTTCATACAT